TGAGCCACAACATAGTTTTTGCGGAACACAAACATACGAGGGAATTGCACAAAAAGATCCATCCACCAACGAGAACAGGATCATCCGCAATATGATTTTAACTTGAACGAGATGAAACATTCGCTTATAGTGAGTAAAGTCCACCTCACATAATCAGGCGTGCGGCATCCCCAAATGACTACACGTTCTTGCAATAACACACGTGATCCCACCCCAAAAGAGACAGGACATCTATGGACATTCAATGGCATGTTTGATTAATAAGATCAGTCACTCAATATCACTCCAGCCTAATAGCAAAAGGAACCTACTAGCGATGGCCTCCAACCTACTAGCGATGGCCTCCAACCTAGAAGCGATGGCCTCCAACCTAGCAGCAATGGCAAATGTATTTATACGTATATAAGTGTATAGCTGCTGTAGTACAGTATGTATTTGTAGTTGGAGGGTATATTAATTAATATTATTTTGGAATTATTGTTCATTTTATTTTGGTCATAGTGTACCCCACTGGAACTGGAACTCGAACTGGAACTGGAACCCCCCCCCCCCCCCCGGCAAAAAAATTAATCGACATTCAAGTGACATTGGCCATCACGTCCATACCAGACTCGGACCCAGAGAGGAACTTCGAACTGGAAGTGGAACTGGAACTGGAACACTCGCCCCCCCCCGCGAAAACAACAACAACAACAACAACAACAACAACACACCGACATTTAACATCATTTAACTGACAGTGGCAATCACTTCCACACTCGGACTCAGAACTGGAAGTGCAACTGGAATTGGAACTCGAACTGGAACTGGAAGTGGAACTCCCCCTCCCCGAAAAGAGAAATAAACCTTAAACTGACATTGGCAATCACTTCCAGACTCGGACCCAGAACTGGAAGTGGAACTGGACTGGAACTCCATCTCCCCCCCCCCCGAACAAACAAATTCGACATTCTCCTGAGATTGGTAACTGGAACCAGAACTAGAACTAGAACCGGAATTGGAACTAGAAGTGGAACAGGAACTAGAACCGGAAGCGCAACTGGAACTTGAATTGGAACTAGAAGGAGAACTACAACCGGACCACCCCATCCCGGAAAAATACCTGACACTGGTACGAAATTGGGAATTGGATCCAGACTTCGACCTGGAAGTAGAACCGGAACCGCCCCCTCAAGAACCTCCCCCCTCCCCAGTCTCCCTTCTTGGACGATGAGGAATTGGAACTGGAACTGGAACTCCCCTCCCCAGTCTCCCGTCTTCCGTCTTGGACGATGAGGAACTGGAACTGGAACTCCCCTCCCCCTCTCTTTTCTGTTGGACGACGTGGAACTGGAACTGGAACTGGAACTCCCCTCCCCCCTCCCCAGTCTCCCTTCTTGGACGATGAGGAACTGGAACTGGAACTGGAACTCCCCTCCCCCTCCCCAGTCTCCTGTGTTGGACGACGTGGAACTGGAACTGGAACTGGAACTCCCCTCCCCCCTCCCCAGTCTCCTGTGTTGAACGACGTGGAACTGGAACTGGAACTGGAACTGTTCCACCCGCCCGGGGCACACTCTGATTTTGGTATTATTTTTTTGTTTTGACATGTTTTGCCTTTTACTTCTGCGGGCTTGCAGCTTTTGCTGGCCTTTGTTGGCTTTTGGTGGTTTCTGTTGACTTTTGGTGGCTTCTGTTGGGGCTTGGTGGCTTGTGTTGGCTTTTGGCTTCTGTTGGCTTTTGGCTTTTGGTGGCTTCTGTTGGCTTTTGGCTTTTGTTGGCTTTTAGTGGTTTCTGTTGACCTTTGATGGCTTCGGTTGGCTTTGGGTGGCTTGTGTTGGCCTTTGGCTTCTGTTGGCTTTGGCTTTTCGTGGCTTTGGTTGGGTTGGGCTTTTTCACTGTTGCACGGAATTGGAAATGTTGTGATATACCCAAGATATATCAAGATATGATAGTGATTAAATATTTTCTATTTTATCCTGGTCACTACACCTACCGACTAAAGAATCCCAGAGTTGGCAACGATCGTGCTTGCATTAGTTGTGGCTTTGGCCAACCCGGCTGACCATTTCAACCTTTGTTCTGCTCTGATGGGTGGATGTTACTCACTAGTCCATCATCAGAGGAATGTGAAGTCCCAGGCACAGCTGCCAGATGTAAGAAGGTATTGGTTTTATCCAGATGATTGCAACCTTGTCCCTTTTCCTTTTCCTTTATAAAAGAGCAGCCAAGAGCAAGAAAACACAATACCAGATTTAGAAAACATAATTACAATATAACATCCGAACCCTTTGTAGTTGCATGAGTACTGTCATCGTTACTGTCAGGCTTCTGTTAGGCGAGGTGCTTTGCTGTTGCTGTGCTTCTTTTGGTTGTGGTGGTTGTTGTTGTTGTCGTCGTCGTCGTCGTTCTTCTTCTGCAGATACCCTGTCTTCTGACTGGAGAGGACTACAATGCTACTACATATTCCCCGCATCCTGCCAATCCTCCTGCTAATCCCTCCTGCTAATCCTGCTTTTAGCAGAAGCCGCTTCTACTACCACTACGATTACCACTTCAACTATTCTTTGCCATTGCTAGAGCTTTTTCCAAATTGGATTCTCGGACAAAGATACCAAGCTAAAGGACAGGAAGAAACAATCCTGGCAATAGATGCGACAAAGCGTAACCAACGTCTTTCAGAGTAGCATGACGTGATCAGAATAGCAGCAGGTATGCGGCGGCAACGTTGGTATACCGTACCAACTGGTGGTTTGTTGGGTGGCAGACCTGCCACGAAGACTAGAGGTACGTATCTTTGTAAGGGTGGTGTACGACGTTTTCCCCTTCAGGCGTGTGTTTTGAAGTTTCTACAAGGGTGTAAATGTCGTTTTGAGCAAGGCCCGGCCAACCTAGGAACTCTGCCACAAGAATAACAGGCCAAACCAAGAATCCAGGAATGATCCAAGACGAGACTTGGACAGTCTCACTATTGACATGTGGAGAACAGTTGTTACTCCTAGACTCCTAGCGCTTGAAGTTTTGTGCAATTAGTTCAGGAAGCATGAACAATTCAGACATCTGGGGATAGCAAAAAAGGCAACACAAAAAAGACAACTTAGACAACCGAGGCAACAGACAGAGCAAAAAAAAGGAAGAAGAAGAAGAAGACATCTAGAATCAATATATATATATATACGTGACAAGAGCAGGACATGATCCAAATTTGCATCTGTGGACGGTGCACACTTCGACCGCAGTGGAACTGCTTAAGCGTTCCGCTTCTTGCAATACTACCAAGTGTCCATGTCTGCCACAGACTGATGCAGATTGACAGGACCTTTTGAGATTTGCAGAGGAGGCTGAAGAGCTGGCCAAATCTGTGCAAAGCCTCAGCGGTCACAGGCTATACAGAATGGTTGTGATCCTGCAAATTTGCCTCAGAGATCAATGGAATTCTGGATAGTCAATGTGACAGTGTGACAAGTCCGTGCCCAAAGGGAAACGAGTTTACTGGTCGGAGTTTATGGTTTCGTGCCTACTGAATAGATTTTCGAGACGATCGAATTTGTGAGGCCACCCACTCTGTCGAGATTGGTTTGAGCCCCAGCTTTCCAACAAGATAGGTTTGTTGGCTAGTTATTAAATTCTTTTAATGTATCAAGAGATATCAAGAGCTAGAGAACCAGACATGTTTGTCATCAGAATCGGATTCTCGGGCATCATCAATTTGACTCAGCTTTATAGGCAAGGCAGGGTTGCTTTAGATTCTTTTTTTTTCCCACTAGTAACAAAGGGCATCGCTACTAGGAGCAAGAAGCTACTAGTAGCTCCTGGCATTACTACTAGTAGGAAGGACGCTATTTGGTGGAGGCATGTGGAGGCCATCGATATTAGGTTGGAGGCCATTCCCTACTAGGACCGGTAGCAAGTTTTTCCATCGTGTCGACCATCTTCGCACTTGCGTGACCGCTGTGACCGCATGAAATGTGCATGGTGAATGTTGGTGAAGCTGCGAAGCTTTGAGTTACTAGGGGTTGTTTGAAAGCTACTATATAGTAGCAACAGCAAAAGAAACCTTTGTTACTAGTAGCGATGCCCTTGTTACTAGTAGCTTCTTGTTCCTAGTAACTTAGTAGTAAGGCCAGGAGCCCCTAGTAGCGTCCCTGCTCCTAGTAGCGATGCCCTTGTTACTAGTAACTTCTTGCTACTGCTACTCTCCATTTTTCTTCGCAAGTTTGAAGGCATGGATGCAATGGCAGATATTCCCGCTCGTGCAGACGGACTGATAGGTCGCCGTTTAGTCAATACCTCAGGCAGCATTGTGCTTGCTTGGGGTAGAGTTGAAGGATGCGTGCGTTTCATCAGCCTGTGCGCATGCAATGCAATGGCTCGGCACCAAGGATCTGAAGCTTGCAAAGCCACTTAAAGAGCTGACGGAGTTGAAGGCAAGCAAGTAGCACAGCTTCCCAATGCCTTCAGCTTGACAGGCTTAGATTCAGCATGTCTTGTTAGAAGGCCTCTTCACAGCAGTTAGCAGATGTCCCGTAGCTCGAAATGAATGAAGGGTAGTTGAGTAAGAATCCCGAGATATTTGACTCCAAAGGAGAGTGCAGATAGTATACCATGTGGCTTCCTGCTCCTAAGGCAAAGCGTGCATTGGCAGGGCATCATTGAGAAGCTAGCTGCGCCCATGAAAATTCAGCGGATGGCAGTGCTGTTCTGATCGAATGTTCTTTGCGTCTTTGCGTTTCACAAGACGTCGCCTAGCTTTGAATGCCTGACATTTCGAGACCAGATTTGGAGATGAATTTGGTTTGCTGTGTACTATTCACTGCATTTGGTTCACCAAAGATTGCGTGGTGCTGTGAAAGCCATTTACTCTGCAATTCGGGTGCGCGGTTTGTCCGAACTTGCTTCAAAACTAGTATGTGCGCACGCCGAAGCAAAAGGTCTACAATGTCTAAACCATGCCAATGACGAGTTCGATGACAATCGGACATTTCGCATCATTTATGTATACAAGAACACGCATAATTGCATGAAGTCTACATCTGACATGTTGTACAGGTCTGTGTTGCATAGTCTCGGTTCGAGAAGCCAGATTTTTCACAGTTTAGCAACCAGCGCTTTGCTCATGGAGGCAGACACACAGTGATCGTGCAACGTACTGCGGTAGGGACTGGACATGTTTGGAATATTGAACCGTGCTTGACAGCGAGACTTGTGTTTCTGTGGCACGTAGGTAGGTTCCGTGCAGGATGTTCTCCTGGGCTACCTCAGCAAGAAACTAGATGAGGAGAGGGCAAGACGCATATTTTTCCCAACAGGTTTACCTGTGAGTGTGAGGGGTTTACTCAATGGAAAGGGTGATTTCGATTCAACTGTCTCCTGTTGTCTCCTGATAGACTGTTAGACGCCTCCGTTATTTTTCTGTTTTTTTGTTTATCGTTTTTCTTTCAATAGGTGCGGCAAGTCGAGGTTGCCTGCAATTTCAATGACACATCATGTAGTACTCATGATGAAATTAGACTGATAGACTGAAATTGATGTTGTAATGAGTCTATTTCTATTGGAGAGCTGCTGCTTATCAAAGCCAATACAAAGCGAGTCTAGATCAGGGAGGTGCCAGATCGGGGGGAATGTTTGGCCAATTTCACTTTTGCATACACAGACAAACTCAACAGCATTTTATAATCAAACAACATTGTGGCACTGCAATGGCTTGTTCATTTGTTTCTATATACTGTACTGTAATTTGGTTTTCGATTGATTGACATCTATTGATTGTAGTAATTAAGCTGGTTTGCAACCGCGATAGAAGACAATCAGAGAGAAGCGCGAACATGGCAGTCAAAGCATCGCCCTGGGCACCTCCGTGCATTGCAACTGGTCAAGCTGGACAGTCACGCCCAAGGCCCAAGCATGGTCCTGCAAGCCAAAGTAGCATGAGTAAGCCACTGCGCCAGCTTGTCCAGTCTGGGGGCACTCGTCCATGAGCCGAGTAGCACGGGGTTGACGGCGAGCACCACGCCCTTACTACACTTAGGGGCCCATGACATACCGCGCAAGTCTCATCTTTATGTGATCAGAGGCAACCCCAACGCCTCACCGACTGCCTGCAATAAGGGTTGATTGGGTTGATGGTGCAGTGCCCACTGAGCTCTTTGCGCTGCCAAGCCAACCTTGAATCGTCCCAGCCGATGGAAACACCCACCCACCACATTGCCAGTAAGTAGCGGTATAGCTGCAGAATTGGCATCCAAACCCAGTGGCCTTGCAGGGATTTGCAACATGGAAGAGAAGCAATTTGTTGGCGCAGCGACACTGCCGAAGCGAAGCGCTCGGTTTTGTGGCGACGGTGCTCGAGGACGCGAGCCCAAAGTCGTTCCGAGGATATGGATTGATGAGGATGGAGCGTGTCCCAGTTGGCAGGACTCCCCGAGAAAGTAAAAGTAGTAGTAGTAGTAGTCGTAGTCGTAGTAGTAGTACTAGTAGTAGTAGTAGTAGTAGTAGTAGTAGTAGTAGTAGTGGTAGTGGTAGTGGTAGTGGTAGTAGTAGAGTAGTAGAAGTAAGTAAGTAAGTAAGGAAGGAAGGAAGGAAGGAAGGAAGGAAGGAAGGAAGGAAGTAAGTAAGTAGTAGTAGTAGTAGTAGTCGTGGCCCCCCTCGAACTGGGAAAAGTAGTAGTAGTCGTGCCCCCCCCTCCTCGAACCGTTCTTACAGGTCTTAAAGAAGGATCCTGTGCTACGAGGAAGTAGTAGTAGTCATGGCCCCCCCCCTCGAACTGAAAAAATCCCCCCGCCCCCCCGAACTGGGAAAACTATAGTAGTAGTCGTGGCCACCCCCCCATTCTGCTACATACCGAGCTTGTCGGACGTCGGCTTGTGTGGCGGTCACGTACGCAGTGCAGATTTCCAGCGCAAATGAGTGGCAGGCGCAGGGAATGAGATGAGGTGCAGATTTCGTGGTGCGGGGGGGGTTGGGGGGGGCTGCGCTGTAATTGTTTTAGTGTTCAGACACTAACCGCTACTGTTCTTGCTTTACGAGGCATTTGAGAAGGATTCCGCGCTACGAGGGGTTGTAAGAAGGGTTCTGTGCTGCGAGGAAGTAGTGGTAGCCTTGCCCGCCCCCCCCCGGGCCCCGGCCGGGGTAGAGGTCGTGTGGGCGCCACCCCCTGCCACACAAAAATTAGGACACCCTTCGGGGGCGACCTCCTTGTTGGGGTTGGTGACCAACTGGCCCATGGCTTCCTCGAGCACTGGGCCAAAAGGAAGCTCTCTTTGTCAAGGTACCCCTTCCTCAACAAGAGGATCTTTGCCGTGGAGTTGTAACAACTGCAATCTTAAAGTTACAAGGTTGACCATTTGATGGGCCATTATGACACCAGGCGTAGGCGCTTTTTGATTAGGAGGCCCAAGTTAGCACGGGCCGTGGTGGCCGGGCGATCTTACCAACTCTTCCGCGTCTGTCTTCCATTTTTTTTAAGGAAGGGAAAGTGCTGGGATTGCCTCGGAACTCCGGGCATTCTGATTTGGGACCTGGCCACTCGAGACTTTGGCGGCGCAGCGGCGCACCTGTCCCATTGCTAGAAGCCACGCAAGGGCGAGGGGTGGGCTTTGGAACCTTCATTTCCTCCCATGACTTTTCTCTGCAGGATTTTTCAAGTAAGGAGAGGGCCGTGTGCCCTCGGAGGATTTCCTGAAGTCTGGTGGTGGGACCTCGTGATTGAGATTTTGCGGCCGAGAAAAATGACACTTGGCGCACGTTGCCAGACCATGTGGGATCAGGGCGCCCAAAAATCTGCCCCTTCCCATGCCTTTACGGTCTTTCGGTGGTTCTGTCGGAAGTAAAGACGGTCCCATGGTGGAGACTTGTCCCTTTTGTGACACCCAAAACGCCTTGATTTTTTAAGTGCTTTTGTTGAGTACGTATTTTACGTTTTCTGCTTTAGAGACAAGAACTATTGAGGCAAACATTAATATAAATGACACCTACCTGATCTGCACCTCACTGATCTGAAGCTCGTTCTGAACTTACTGATCTGCGTGGCCCCCTAACGCCTTGGAATCGCTTCGCAGCCTACTCTTAAGACCGAGACAACGAGTTTGGGAAATCAGGTCCTCAAGGGCTCAAGGATAGATGAACTTCGGACGCTGTTGACTGAGGAGGCTGCGTTGGATATTCGATCAAGTCGATTCGGAGGTGCCAGAACAAGCGCTGTCACATGAACTTTTCCACAAGATTTATGTTGATGTCTTTGACGTTCGGTATGTTCTGCTTTATCGTGAATGTCACTACTTTGTGTTGAGAACAGGGTGTAATCCACTTGGGCTGAGGTGCCGCTGTTTGGAGTGTGGAGCCTTCCCCAGAGTCTCTCGTCCACAGGCCAGCACAGCGAGGGGTTTTGTGATACTTTGTGGATCGTTGACAATCAATGATGTGTCTGGTGTTTGGAGCATCGCCCGTTTTACGTTTTTGCGACTTAGAGTATTGATGTGTTAGGAGGAGCACATATGAACGGGAAACAAATACTCCATTTCGTCAATGAATTTAAATCGCATACTTTTGTCTCATGAAATCGACAGTGGCAGGAAAGACTTCCTCACATGCGGCGTTTGCGGTGAGAATCTTGCAGACTGCTTAGTAAAGCGCACAATTCAAGCACTCAATAGAGAGACTTTCAATGCGCAACACGTGACAGTGGAGGATCTAGTTGGACTGGGGGGAACAGACATCGTAGGGGTGGGATCCAGATCCATTTTGACCAGGTTCTCTTTGTCCAGATTTCTGCGGGCTATGGAGATCACCAGAAACGCTTGCTCTACCTCTTTGGCTGCCGCACGAGCAGTTGTGGTGAGAAACTGAGCTCACCTTCACGGGCAATTTGCACAGAAGCAGCAAATGTGGCAAACGTTTCAAGCAGATGTACATCAGGAGGGTATATTATAAATTGGCAAACAAAAGCCATTCAACCTTTACCCGCAGACCCCTTCAGCGTCAAACATCCGCTCGCATGGTAGCGGAGCCGGGATCAGGATTTGCTTTGCATCTCCTGTGAGCTCCAGCGGCGGATTCAGGGACAGGACCCAAAGATCCCTTCGCGCCCCCGTCTTTGCTGCGACCGTGCCTGTTCATAGAACTAGTGTGGCAGGTTGCTCGCCCTCGGTGCGTGAGGCTACTTGAACCTGGAGATCGAAGCACCTTGAGGTACCCCTTTGCCCACATCCTTGAGTATAACAGGTTGACTGAGGATCACCTGACGGCCCTATCTCATCTTCTTTGAGGACGCCCTTGGAGAGGAGAAAGGTGACAAATGGATGGCTCTGATCCTGGCTTGGCTGGAGGAGCGGCGGTCGAGTTGACCCAGGCGTTGATCCAGGCTGCACAGTCAGCCACTCAAGCTGCACAAGCGACTGCAAGTGTGAATGCAGCTCAAGCCCAAGGAGGAGGAGAAGGCTCATCTTCAGGAAGCTCGAAACGAGACTTGGCAAAGCTCATACCCCGTCCGAACAGCTTCAGTCCCATCGACAGGGAGCAGGAGGTGTTGCAATGGAGAGACTGGTTCTGGGGATTCAAACAGTACCTCCTGGTGGTGGATGGATCCTACCAGGAAGAAGTTGAAAGGATTGAGAACAACCTCAACACCGAGGTGGACTGGGATTTGCTGTCAGAACCTGAGCAACAACGTGGACGCTTCCTCTACAGCCTCCTGGGTAGCTTGGTTCAGGGCAGGCTGATGGGCCTGATTCGAAATGTGGAGCAGTTCAACGGCTATGAAGCCTTGCGTCAACTCCTGAGCAACTGCCAGCCGAATGCCAGGAACAGGACTTTGAGTTTGCTCCAAGGCATCATGGCCTACCCGAGCTTCAACATGCGGACTTCCTTGCTGCCCCAGATTTTGAAGCTGGAAGAGCACTACTACCAGTACGAGAAGCTGGGAGGTAAGCTGAGCCCGGACATGAAAGCGGCCATCCTGTTGCGCTCGGTGGGAGGTCAGATGAAAGTTCATTTGAATCTTGCCCTCAACGAAGGATCCACCTACGCCCAAATTCGAAAGGCCATCATTGCCTTCGACAATGCCAATACGAAATGGAACGAAGCATGCAGGTGCATTGTCATTCTCGAGCCCTATGTCTTCAGGTGCAGACCAGGGTCCTATGCCGATGGAGGTGGATCGTCTTCAGCAGAAAGGAAAAGACAAGGGCAAGTCAAAAGGAAAAGAGCAGAAGGGCAAGAGCAAGGGCAAACACGAGAAGGGCAAAGACAAGGGCAAAGGAAAATCAGAGGGCGGAGGCAAGAGTGGAAAAGGGAAAGGGGGCAAAGAGAAGGGAGGAAAGGGAAAGAGCACGACAGAAGTGTGCTGGACATGCGGCAAACCAGGCCACATGTCAAAGGATTGCTGGCGAGTACGTCAAGTGGAGGCTCCAACGACTCAGAGCTTGAGCTCCACTAGCCAGCAGGGGTCTACTCCATCCACAGCGACGACAAGCACTACGAGTGGTGGAGAGGTTTCACAGAAGGCAATTCGCCGTGTTTCACAGCCAGCAGTTTTTGATCTGAGAGAGACATCGCTGACTGGCTCGATCAGGATGGTTCAGGAGAGCCCCAAGTCCTCGGCGGAGTACTACAGTATTGCCACCGATGATGAGGCAGAGGATGAGAAGGACCACTGCTACACCATCAACACGATCCAGCAGTATGGCAGCATGGAGATCGAGAATGAAGTGCCTGAGGATGAGGAGAAGGTCAACGTGATTCTGGACTCTGGGGCGGACGCCTCGCTGTTTCCAGGACGTTTGATGGACAAGGGCATTCCAACCAGTGGAGCATGCCCCTACCTCCAGGACGCCCAGGGCACGAAGATCAAGACCTATGGCCACAGCGACGTGGACATCGTGATGCATGCCAAGGATGGGAGAGAAGTCATCATCAAAGAGCGGTGACCTTTTCAGACTTGGTGAGTCAGCCCATTCTCTCCTATGGGCGCTTGTTGAAGACCGGATGGTCGATTGATGGTGGTACCCAGTGCCTCAAGCACGATGAGATTGAGGTTCCTTTGGCGTTTCAGAACCAAAGCCTTGTGGTTCGAGCAGCGATCCGGATGATCCACGAGCCTGGCATGATTCGCACGCTGAGGGTGAAGCTTGGTCAAGAGCTACAAGAGGCGGCATTGGGGCAGTATGGATGGAAGAAAAAGGAGCATTTCTGGATGGGCTTGCACTCAAGCCGCCACTACCAGACACCCCAGTTTGTCCCGGAGTTCAGGAACCAGAGTGAGGGCTTTTGCAGGTCGACTTTGGTGGAGCGTCGTGGACAATGGGAGTTGGTCGAGATGGCCGAGCCACTTGATGGCTTGTGGGAGCAGGAGGAGCCCATTGAGGAGCTCAAGGAGGAAGAGATGGGCGGGATCATCACTCTCATCGCCCAAGGTGGGACAGCGCCCGAGACCTTTGGATTTGAAGTGATGGATGGCTTCCACTTCCGGGCAGATCCTGAGGGCATGGAGGAATTGGCAGTGCCCGAAGCAGCTATGGAGGAGGATGTTGAGGGCGTAGACATCCCTGGAGGAGAAGGTCAAGAGGGAGTTGGCCTAGAGGATCAGGAGGCCCGACTTGAGGTTGGCGTTGCATTGCCATCCCAAATCCAGGTGAATGGTGTGGTGCTCACTTTGGATAGCCCCCCTCGAAGTTTACGCGCCGCATGCGCCTTCTACCGGATTGGTCAGAGTGGGGGAAAACAGAAGTGCTTCAATCGGCTGATGTCGCACCAACACCAACTGGAGCTGCTTATGGCCAGGGACTTGGCCGCTCAGGGACGAGCGATGGACCAGCGCATCCCATTGGAGCAGGTTTCAGCGAGGGAGCCAACGGTGGAGGAGAGGCGCCAACACGAACTCACTCATCTTCCATATGAAGCCTGGTGCACCGCCTGCTTGAAACATCGAGCCCGTCAAGACCAGCATAGGAGGACTGGCAAAGCCCATGAGCAAGGATGCCCAACTATATCGTTCGACTTCTGCTACGTGAAAGCCTCGGGTTCAGGAGCACTTGGTGAAGAGGAAGATGACGGGGCCCAGGCTGGGGTAGAGGTTGAGCGAGGGGCAGTGCTGATGGTAGCGGTGTGCTCACAGACAGGGTATTTGCTAGCCCTGCCGGTGAAGTCGAAGAACCAAATGAGCCTCATCACCCATGAGTTGCTGGCCTTCACCCAAGTCCTCGGCCATGAGGAGGTCCAATACTACAGTGACAACGAGCCGACTTTGCGGCAGATTCTCAAGCTCTTGGTGACAGCAAGGTCATCTATGGGTCTGAAGACGACAATGAGGACCACCAAGATCTACGACTCGGCCGGCAATGGACTTGTGGAGAATGCCATCCAGCGGATCAGGAGCTTGGCATCAACATTGATGGAGAACCTGACCGAGCAGATTGAGCTTAGATTCCAAAGCCAACATCCCATTTGGAGCTGGGCGTGCAGGCATAGCGCATGGCTGATCAACCGCTTCCAGCCATTTCATGGCTCTACAATGCAACTTTGGGGAGGTTTGCTTTGCATACTGCAAGCCCAAGCAAGGGTACAAGGCTGACCCCAAATGGAGGCTCGGAATCTACCTGGGAAAGACGGAGCTCCAGGACAACTGGGTGATCGGTGATGCCAACAAGGTCTACCTGAGCCGCTCTTTGAGAAGGATGTCAGGGGCAAGCAAGAAGAACCTCATGTGCTACAAAGGGTTCACGGCCTACAGTTGGGAATATCAACAAAACTTTGGAGGCCGGATAGTTCCTTCGAAGAGGATGGCATCTATGGTGGGCATGCCTGTGAGTCGAGCTCTACCACCGAGCAGTGGGGTATCCCCGGATGATGTTGATGCTCAGGAGATTCTCGCCTTCGTGAAGTCCTATGCGGGAAAGAGAGAGGAAGCCAGAGAGCTGGTTGAGAATGAGCCCAATCGAGTTGAAGGACGAGAGGGCGGAGAACAGAAGAGTTTGGCAGAGCTGCAATTGGCGGAGGACAAGAAGCAGGACTTCGCGGAAGAGGAGGTTCCGGAGTTGGTGAAGGTGTCCAACCCTATGGCCATCAATGAGAGGAGGAATCAGGCAGGACCTTCAGATCCTCGTCCAAAGCCGCAGCAGGTAGTGACAACTCCAAGGAGTACGGCATCCAAGACCGGGGTGGTGGAGCAGGAGAAAACTGATATGAAGAAGATGAAGATGACAGTGGAAAAGGCAGCGCATCCACTCGAAGCCTCAACTCCAGAGCCAAAGAGACCAAGGCATGAAGGAGATGCCAATATGGAGAGGAGAGTTGAAGTCACCCAGGTTGGAGCAGAGTCTTACTACCACATGGACGACATCATTGGTGAGGAGGAGATGGCCGTGTGGAGTCAAGAGAATGAAGAGGAAGATGAACAACCCTTGGAGATTCCCGATGCCCTATGGTCAGATGCACCCTTGGACCGAGTACCTCCAGACCCACCGAAGTGGGTTGATGATCTGGCTGATGAGGTGGAGGAGAAGCGACTAGAGAGGCTTGGAGTGCTCGCCCCAATGGAGAAGAGGCTGGAAGGATACAAGAGTCTCACTACGAGGTTCGTGCGGGATTGGAGAGCCAAGCCGAGAACCAAGGATTCAGGAGCACCGAAACAGTTTCTGCGGAGGTCAAGGCTGGTAGCCAGAGAGTATGCCACCGACCGTCGTGATGATGTCCACAGTCCAGCGACAGGTGGACAAGCCTTGCGGCTGCTACCATCCATCTACCTCATGAAGAAGGCAGAGGAGGAGCATGGTGGACTGGAGTACACCTTGGGTGCCCTGGATATCAAGGATGCTTTCCTGCAAGTCCCTCAGGCAGTACCTACACAGGTGAGCACTGCCAGTGGCCACTTTGAGGTGAAGAAGAACTTGCCCTGCCAGAGGATTGGAGCCAAAGCTTGGTTCGAGTATCTCACTGACTGGCTGAAAGCAAAGGAGTTCAGCTTCTCCGAGATCAACCCTTGCCTGGGACGTTTGGGCCACAAGATGATGCTCCTCATTCACGTGGATGATGTGATGTTTGTTGGAGAGAAGGATTACGTGATGGAGCAGTTCATCCCAGACCTCAAGCAGAGCTTCGAGATTTCAGAGCAGCATTTGACTGGCGAGGGCAGCACATTCCAGTTCTTGAGGAGGACCTATGTGGAAATTGAAGGTGGCTTGAAAGTAATGCCCGGGAAGTATGCCGAGAGCATGATCGAGATGTATGAGGAGAAAATGGGCAAAGCAAAGATACAGAAGCTTCCTTGTGGTCCTGAAGTTCTGGAAGCTGATGGTTCGGTCGAGCTCAAAGCTGAGTTGGCAAGCCTGTACCGCTCGCTGGTTGGATGCGGGATATACCTGTCACAGGAGAGGCCGGATGTCTCCTACACGATCAAAGAGCTGGCATCGACTATGTCATTTCCTACGACCAGCAGCTTGAGGAAACTGGGAAAGCTCATCGGCTACCTCAAGGGGACGATTGGCCAGCATAGCATCCTGGAGATGACAGAGCCAGGGCAAGGACTGATTTGTCGCACTATGGAGGCCAGATGGATCATTGAGACCTTTAGCGACAGTGATTGGTCGGGATCCAAAAGCCATCGACGATCCACCTCAGCCGCGATCCACATGTTGAACGGAGTGGTCATTTTCACCAGTTCAAGAGGGCAGAAAAGTGTGGCCCTATCTTCAGCCGAGGCAGAGCTCAATGCATTGGTAAGCTCAGCCGCTGATGGAATCTATCTCAAGCGGTGCTTGGAGTTTCTGGTGGATGAAGTGGTGATCCATGAATGCCTGGTGGATAATTCGGCAGCCTTACATCTTTGTCACCGACGAGGCCCAGGGAAGCTGCGCCACATAGCAGGAAAACTGCTGTGGATTCAGGATTTGGTGGCTCAGGAGGAGCTTCGAGTCAAGGCAGTGGGGACCCTCCACAATGTGGCTGACTTGGGCACAAAACCACTATCACGAAACCGCATCATGCTGATCCTGTATTGGTGCAACACCCGCGGCGGAGACGGTGAGAAACTTGGCGAGGAGGAGTATGCCAAGATGGAAGAGAGCCGAGTGAACCCGGTGAAGATCCAGAAGTTGGCAAAGTTGCTGAACAGGATCCTGCTTGTTGGGGGTCTTGAGCAGGCCACGGCATCAAGGACCGAGGGTCTTGAGGAAAAGGTGGAGAAGAACAATGGCATCATGATGGTGATTGTGGTGGTTATGGCATTGATGATAGCAGCACTGGCATGGACGGTGTATAAGTTATGGGGCATTGTCGAGGAGTTGAAGACAAAGATTGCGGACGCCAAGGACAGTGCCTATGTCAACGGAGTGTCCACCAGAGCCTATGCGCAGGGCATGCGAGAAGAGATGAAGGAGATGAAGAGCTACAGCCAGGAGATCCATCGAGGTCTGATCAAGGCCTCGGGATATATCGACAAGGAGGAGGTGAGCGAAGATGAATGGAAACACTGGAACTACATCCAGGACTCCAATAAGGACTTTGACTTGCGGCGGATCCACGCCCAGATCAAGGCCTACAAAGAGGAGAATGAGAGGGACAATGGACCGATTGACTTGCGGCCCTACAGAAACACGGAGGAGGCAGAGATGCAGGAAGAGAATGAGGAAGAAACCGTGACGGTGCGTCTGGACAGCGGAGAAGTGGTTCAGATTCCCTTACGGTTCATAGAAGCCCGGGAGCCGGAGAGCGAGGATGAAGCGCCGGAGACGGCCATGGAAGTGAGCGAGGCCACCCAAGAGGTTGAGTGGGCTGATGAAGATATGCCCACTCAGGAGGTCAAAGACCCCACCATCAATCAGGCTACAAATGCCTGGCTCACTCGTGAGGAGCTTCGCGAGTTGAAGTGTTTCGATTCGGCATGTGCACGATCCGGACTTCGTGCAAAGCAGCACATGTTGAAGCTGCAAATGGAATGGCAGAAGGCTGACCATGAAGGGGATCATGAAAGGAAATTTGAAATTTACGCCATGATGGACACGCACTACCCTTTCATGGACAGTGAAGACCTGCCTTTTTAGAGAGTTGGTGCATAAGCTGACACGCTCAAGCACCAAAGGAGGAGTGGCAAACAAAAGCCATTCAACCTTTACCCGCAGACCCCTTCAGCGTCAAACATCCGCTCGCATAAATGGAAACCTCAAGTTGCACAATTTGAGCATTGGCTAGCGATCCTCAAGATGTGTTCGAGTCTACACAATGTATATACAATGTAGAATGTAATTTCTTTGAAGCCAACACATCATGCTGTAGCTAAGCACACACGCACACAAGACGCCAGCATCTCTGCGTGCACATTTGCAGCGCTCGGAAGGCAGCTAGTTACTTACCCAATTCATGAGGTTGGAGGCCATCGCTATGAGTCCATCGCTACTGGTTGGAATCACTACTAGGTTGGAGGCCACCGCTAGTAGGTTAGAGGCCATCGCTAGTAGGTTGGAGGCCATCGCTACTAGGGTAGAGGCCATTGCTATCAGGTTTGTTTTACTGTAAGTTGGCCTCTTGAGTCCAGACGACATGTCCCCTGCGAGATGTGCTCCCACCAGGTATTGATGCTAAAGCCTGGCGAGTACTGCGCAGTGCGGGGACTGCTGACAAAAAATTGCTATAGCCATATGTGCAGCTTTTTGCTTCCATGATATGAGCAACTATAAGTATTCGCCTATCAACAAGGTAGGAATCTCTCAAACAAGAGCTGACACATACCCTGTGAATCCCTGTGATCTAATAAAGTAGTCCTTATGGTGGATAATTAGTGTTTTTGAATTTAGTACTAAATAGATTCCGCTGCTGCTCATATATTTTTGACCCGATTCGTGTTTCTGTGAGGTACTGGGCCAATGGCAGAGGCAAAGGCTTGGCCTTGAGAAACTTCATGCACCTTCCTTTCATGCATAAAGGGCACGAACTTGCTTGAACGGGCCACGCACTGGCAGAAAATTGACCATTTGTTGCCCCCTTGCTGAGATGCCAAACACAGACTATTTGTTGATCAGTGTGCAGCCAGAACTCCCTTGCATGAGACCACTTGAGCCTCCCTGATAGAGTGGAATGGGCAGGATACAGAAAACCATAAGACCTGTGACTTGCGAGTATGTATGGCATGTAATGTGGAATCGGCCAGCCAGAGCAGACTAAGTTAAAATTTTCCAACAAAAGTTGCTGAACCGGTGAACCCTCCTGGCTCTTCAGCTTGCAATGATTTTTTTCCAGTAGTTGTAGTGGTAATTGGATTCGCCGCTGTAAAGTCTGTTGTTTGATCTCTCAGAACCAGTGTGCAGATAGGTCACAACGTGAACGGGCAACGCTAAATAGCATGGGGAGATTCTCCAGCGATTTGCCGCAGATTCCCGGGACCAGCGCAGGCCAGCCAAAAGGAGGCTTTGACTGCGGCTGCAGGTGACAAGCTTGGGGGAGCCACAGCGGAACCAAGCAGGAAATACCCTCTGGGGGGACTACTGTCCTGTGGTACACTCCTTTGGGGAGTGTACCTGGGTTCATGCTTTTGCTTTTCAAGACTTGTATATATATATATAAATAATAATATATATATAATATACAGTACATCCTGAATGGGTTTTGCTGAGTGGGTTGAACAGCTTTGCACAACAAAAAGGATGCTTTGCATCCTGTGTTTGTCAAACTGTTGACAGGGCTATATATCAACAATAGTGAAATCACCATAGAAAAGAACCCATGTTTGCACTTTCTGCAATATTCAGGTTCCTATGCAATAGATTCAGCTGACTGGGGCGTAAGCGACTGGAGTGTTCCTGGAGGCTAGCCGGATCGACAACAACTTTGCTCAAAATGCCGACTTGCATTCCTTATTGATTCATGTTTGAGTTCCAGTATGCGCGCCAAGCCCTCTCCAAAACAACCCAAATTTTGAGATGCGGTCAACATGATGTAAGCAGGTGTCATTTCGGTTGGCTTTGACGCTTTGATCAGACTTGATCAGCATATACATCCGTCCAAAGAACAATACATGCCTGTACATGTCCCAAAGCTTCAAGAATTCAGCACAGCTCACATGCAGATGGCATGCCATTGCTTCAGCCCTTCTCTCAGACGCTGCCCTCGATGCAGATGCTGAGATTGAGGACAGTGGGCGTTGGAACATCACAACGGCCCGTTGTTGCCCGGGAAAGAGAGGGACCAGCATCGAATACGTTGAGTATTATCGAAGTAGAATTCGTGTCCTAGGGATTTCAGCAGGTGACCCAGTAGGGCGATAGGCGCTGGAGGCCTGAAAGGAACATGCTGAGTATCAAAACTTCTTGGGATTTGAAAGAGGCCATGTTGAAGTTTCAAGTTGCACATGACATGGTGAGGCGGTGAGAGTCTTTACTCTACTGGATAGCACTGAGAATGATTTCAAAAAGATTAGTATATTGTACATATCAAGCCAGCAGGCTCGGCTAGGCTGAAGTTTGGTTGGGCGAGCAAAGTGAGTAAAGGGTGTGTGTGTGTCACCCCCTGTACCAAAGGGTTCAATGCCACTGTCTTTCACTGCAACCACTTCACAAGGCAGGGGGTCGCTGGGGATTCGTGCAGTCAGCGACCAACGAAGACGCTGCACGTTTCCTGTGATATGAGTTGAGGACGCTCGACTCACGTACCTGCGACTGTTTTGAACTTTTGCCCACGCTGTTCCAATCTTCCTTTTTTGTTTCCATGGTGATTCATGATACCTCCCACAAACCTACTCTCCCCCAGCAGCTGCGCCGCCGCTTTGATCGTTTTGCCGCCGCTTTGAACGCACGAGTGCCTGCGTCAACAAGTTTGAACAATACTTTTCAGCGGACTTTTTCGCCTTGCCGTTCCATCACCTTCCTTCCCAACGTGGGAACTGAGTGTAACTGAATACCAATGTCAGAGTGTGTCTCGCTCAGCCGTCCCACTTGGGTGCTGAGTGTGATCCTCCGCAAGGAGGCGCCGTTTCATTCGGGAACTCGTGTAACTGAACTTTTCCACCGTTCACAGGAATTCACCACTGGACCAACCTTAACTGAATTTACCGCTTCCACGGCCCCGCCGGGCCAAAAAACGGGACATCAGCAGATTTCACCTTGCATCGTTTTTGCATCAGCCTTGAACTTTGCTTTGCGGGTTTTCTTCCTCAAGCTGAGCGATTTGATTCTTTCAGAACGCTTAATTCGACTTGCATGGACTTACCAACTTTCACACTCTCACAATTACCACAACTACCACTTTTACGCTACTTTTTCACCATTCAACCATATCTTTGCCATCTCACTTTACACGACTGCATCAGCTGCTGTCCTCGCCGCCGCGCCGCGCCGCTGCCATTGTGAAGCAGATACTACGATTTCAGGACAGTCTTCCACTTCCCACACGATGCAGTATCCTTGGCCTTACTCCCACACGGCACCACTGCCATTACCCACTCCGCCAACGCAACCAACACCCCATCCACCACATCCACACACACCACCAACATTCCAAGTCCCACAACATCATCCAGTTTCACCACATCCAACACTTCCAGCTCCACAACAGCCAGCATTTGCAGCACAGCCAACAGTATTCCCCTATGGACCTCAATCTATGTGGACCTTCGTGCACCCACATCAGATACCACCCCAGGCCACACATCATCCACAAGCATTTCCAGCATCCTATATCGTTCAACAACTACAACCTCCACCATCTGCCCACCCCACCACAGCCACCGTGATGCCGCCGCCTCCTGCGCCTCAGCAGGTCACTCCAACCACCACATCAGCAGAACCCCAATGGCACACATCACAAGGGGTCTGGCAACCTTATTCAGTCTTCCCACCAGTGACACCGCTGTCACCACACCCTTCTCCACAGCCCCAACAAGCAATCAGCGACTCACCACAAGAACAACCGCCGCCCCACGATCCTGCACCCCAGGATCCCGCAAACCCTACTCCCAACACTCCACTTACTGTCTCGCAACCTTCTCCATCACCAGCCACTACACCGGCACCACCAACCACGGTGAACCCAGACCCCGCCGCCGGGGGAACTACTCAAACAGCTTCACCAGCACAGCCATCATCCCATCAACCACACGCCAGTCGGCGCCGCCACCACCAGGGCCGCCGCAAGACCGATCATCACAGACACGGTCGCCACCGGCGTCGCCGTCGACGCGCTCACCGAAAGCGCTCCAGGACCACCAAACACAAAGGTTCCTCCAGGCGACACCGCTCGCCCTCCACATCCACCTACTCATACTCTGCCACTCCCTCACGCAGCCGCTCCAGACAACCTCTTGACCTACGACCCAACACGGATACTTCCACTGCCGACAATCTCAACACTTCCGCCACAACGTATCCACTCACACCGGTCCATCGTCGACCGCCCGATTTTTGGCGACCCACCTCACACTTTCAACAACTACCTCCCCACCAGCAACTTGTCACTTGGCTCGACTTCCATGCCGAACAGCTGGACACCCCCAATCGACCTCAACACCACTACATTGCCAACCTTCTCCTCGACAGCAACATCACATGAGGCAACCTCAAAATTATCATCAACCACTTTAGTAAGGGACGTTTCATCTCTGTGTTGCTTTCGTGATTTTCCTTGAAAACGATAGGGGACTGACAAAAAACGATACCCCTGTGTTTACATACTTGCAAAATCCAAAAGCATGGAAAACGATAGGGGACTGACAAAAGTGAAACGAAAACACTCCAAGCATATATTTTTGACGCTAACTCACATACAAAGACATTTCCGACTTTAGGCAATACACCTACGCCAAGTGGAATGACACCACCCAGCAATACGATCAATTCCAGTACAATGCCATTTCACTTCCATACCTCAACACCAAAGCCACCCAACCCTCACCGCCACCAGTTTCCCGCGCCACTTCCACAGACAGGGAAGTCGCACACATTAACGCCTGCCACACCGGTCCTGTCGGCAACATCACCAACATCCTACGACAAGGCCGTTTCCTCCCCAGCACACTTCACTTCCCAAACTACCCTGGCTTTTTTGCCCAGGGGGTCCGCATTACTCACAACCCACAACACGACCACGGCGAATCCACAATTCATGGCAACTCCACAAAAACACCCACTCCCTCGTTATCACGCTCCTGGCCTGGGGCGCCGCCGCAAAATTTACTTCGGGCGGCGAAGAACATGCTATGACCTTTTTACACGACAACCACGGCGCTGTCTTCCACCAGAAGGGCAGAAGTTGGGTCATCCACCCTGACCATGCTATTGTCAAAGGACTAGCATGGTCGATCAACGCAACCCCACCAGACCTGTGACAACCCAACACTCAACATCCACCAGACAACCGCCCACAACCTTCAGTTTCACCCAGCCACACACCCTCCGCCTCGCCAACAGCAAAAAGCAGCGCTGACACTCCTGCAGATGCTTCGGATTTCATTTCTTACATGTCTTTCGACCTTTCAAGCTTTGTTGGTTTTAAATGACACTTTGACTTTTTCGAGTCCAACTCGCACTTCACTGTTTTTGATGCTGATCGTGAATTCATTTCGGCATGATTTTCGGCCCGGTCTTTGTGCTTAATTCATTTGCACGTTCTCGTGATGCTGCGCCACCGCTGCCCAGCTGCCACGCCGCCGCGCCGCTGCGCTGCTGCTACAAACTACGACCCTGACCCAGTGAACTCTTCATCAGCATCGCAATCACACTTTCAACATATGACTACCACAAGCTCACATCCTCGTGAAGATACTACCGCACTCCTGCAACAAACGACAGTGGCCCTCTCTCAGATCCAACACCTCCTCCGGCAAGCCACAGACATTATGGCAGATCTTCACACACGCTTTCTACACCACATTGGACAGGCGGATCCTACCTTCCACAGACCCTTGCCACCACCACCAACACGCTCTATTAACCTGCCGTCACCCGCTTCCTCCTGCGACTCACCACCACCTATTCCACGAGTTCGCAAACCACCTCCGCCATCAGTCAACTCCGACACACCTTCTCCCACTCCTTCACTCAAGCACACACCTGCCCGCAAGCGCAAACAGCCACCACCACCTCCACTCGATCCACATGCAGACTGGGATGCTTGGGATGGTGAAGTCGAGTGCCGCCTCGTAGACCTCAAAACCATTCCCAGGCTCCGACCCAATTGGGCCTTTGTTGCTCGACGGGTCGGATTCTCCATCGAGCAATGCAAAGCTCGATGGAAAGAGCTTCAAGACCTACAAAGACTGCAAGACGCTCAACCGCCTGAGCCTGCTCCACTACCCACAACACCACCACCACCTTTACCTTCCACTCCGAACCCCATCTCACCAACTCCCACATCACCAGCAGACACACCGCCGCAGCAATCACAACCCGACTTCTCAGCCTCACCAACAGCAACCCCACCATCCACACATGAAGCTGTGCCACCGCAGACGGCTGCTGTGCGAGCGCCCAGTGAGAACAGGCATCCGGAATCACCTTCGGAACCGCCTATTGGCAGCTACTTTATTTGATCAGTTTCACTCATTTCTCCACGGCGTGCCCTCGGACAAATTCAGCAGCACGCCTCTTGACACAATTTCTATGACTAACTAGCATGCTACCACTGTATGTCTTTTGATTCAATCTCGTGTCAGCTTGCTTTGAATTCGGAATGCCAAGTGCACAAGCAGCTCCTGTTGCATCTTGCACACATGGCTTCACGCCGTATGCCTTAATTTTTAGATGGGCTCACCACAGTCCCGCAGCCTTTTACGTGACTTCGAGCCGTTTTTATCCTCACACATGGCTTCCTCCCGCGATCACCCTGCAGCCACCACTGCTGGCAACTACTACCTTCCAGGACGACCTCCCATTTACCTTGAACCTTCCATCACCCATCAGCCAGATCTCCATTCACTCAACTGTATGCTCGACATCCTTTTCCTGATCGTCCAACACATTCGACGCCACCCACTACACACAGAACCTATGCCAAACCAAACATACTTCACAGATGACCGAGCCTACAACATCCTTTACCAATACAGACGAGACACCATGCTGCTGGACCGCCTCGTCGACAGCCTCGCCACAGCTCGACGACTGCTCCAATTCGTTCCCGGACAACCCGGGACAATATC